CAACCGCCGCTCGCCACCAGCCGCCCTCCCGCGCCCCGCTTGCGCCTGCTGCGCAGGCGGACATGTATGCCCGCGCGCGCGCCTCCTTTGACGCCTGCGTGGAGCAGGCCGCCGACTGGGACGGCTTCATGGCTGCCCTGGAGCGGAAGCACATGGTTCTGGCGCCCTGGTGCGACGAGGAGGAGGCGGAGGAGGAGATCAAGAAGCGCAGCGCCACCAAGGACGCCATGGGCGCCAAGTCGCTGTGCATACCGCTGGAGCAGGTGCGGCGGTGGGAGGCAGCGGGCGGCGCGGCCGGGGCGGCGGCGTGGGTGGCGCCGGTGCGGGCGTAGGGCGATATTGCTGCTGGGAGGGGCATGGGGTGGTGGAGTGCGTGCATGTGTGCGGGTGCCTGGCTCCGGGCTGTGCCTCTACTCAGCGCAGGCCAGAGGAATCGCATGCGCCGCCGGCCCCGGGACCACCCGCCACACCGCCACCCTCCTCACCCTCCCTGCTGCCTCTGCGCCGCTCCGCCTGCAGCCCCCGCTGCCTGAGGGCACCCCTTGCTTCGTGACCGGCAAGCCCGCCAAGAACTGGTGAGGGGGAGGCAGAGCGCTTGGGCGGCGGCGGGATGCTTTGCATGGAAAGGAGGGATTCTGTGTTTCCCGCTCACATCTTCCTTTTTGGCTCCTGCTCCTTACTCTTACAGGGTCCTCTTGGGGCGGAGCTACTGAGCGCTGGCAGCTGGCTGGCGGCCAGGCTGGCTGGCTGGCTGGCTAACCGTGGCAGCGCCCTGGCGGGAACGGCGGTGGACGGCTCTGCGGCCGTTTCAGGCTGCCATCTGCCACGCCCTGCTGCAACTTGCTGGGCGCCCGCAGCAAAGCATGCACCGCCGCTATTCTGTCTTTATTTGCCTTTACTCAACTTCCTGTCCCTGCTGCTCGCTGGCAACAAGCTGGGGCACGCCGCTGTCGCTTGCAGCCTGCAGCCTGCCGGCAGCTCCTGCCAAGCGCTCCTTGGCATGCTGCCGCCCTGTTGCCAGGTGTGCAAGCGCTGCCACCGCCGCATGCTGCTCCGCGTCGTGCTTGCCCCGCCCCGTGGCCTGCTTGGGTGGCAGCGCACGCCTGATTCAGAGGAGGCGCGCTATGGAAAGAGAACCTCTTTACCGAGCAGCGTGGGACAGCAGCAGGCATGCCCTCCTCACTTGGAAGGTGCACTCCTTGAGCACCGTCTCGTCGGTGCCTGGGCGCACCAGGGCGGGCAGCTGGAGGCTGCAGGCAGCAGGCGCAGCGCTGGCCCCGGGGTTCATCGGCTCGGCAATGCGGCCAAGGTCAAGCAGCGCATGCTGCACAACAGGTCTGGGCTCCGCTGCCCCGGCCGCGAGGTGCTGGTTCCCTGCACCGCGAGGCATGTGCAGCAGCAGCAGCGGCGGCGGCCTCACCAGCAGGCCCACTGCAGCGGGTCGCTGGCGGGTGCAGTGGGGATGCGCGCGGTGTGGTACTGGGGGCTGGCATGGTACTGGTCCAGCACCTGCTGCACCTGCGTCTTGGCATCTGGCGGCAGCGCTTCCGCCGACCGCACGGCGGGAGCTTCCGGCGCCGTGGCCGGAACAAAGTGGGACATGGGGGACGACTCGTCAGCTGTAGGGAGAGCGGCAACGGGGCGCCGGCAGAGCCGGGCTTTGTGTGGCGGGCTTTGTGTGGCAGCAGTGGTGGGAGGGCAGCCAATTGGGGCGCACAGGGCTCTGCCAAGCCATGCACTGCAGGGTTGGACGTGTCGGAGGTGGGCTACGAAACCCCACCAGGCCTTGGCTGTCACAGAGCGCGTTAGTGAATGGTATCTAGTGTCGTGGTGATGAGGGTGGTTGTGCGCGAGAGCGGAAATGGGTTTCGCCGTGGGGCGTGCTGCGTGCTGCGTTGCCAGCTGTGCAGGCACCCTGGGTTCATTTCCGTCCTCACAGATGATCCTTCACTGCTAGAATAGATCGACACACGCTCTTGCTGGAGGGGGGTGGGGTGATGGCCAAGGACAAGCGCAAACGCTCCAAATCGGGCAGTAGACGCAGGGAAAAGAAGCCCAAGAAGCGCAGACGAGCCGATGAATCCAAGAAGCGGCGCAGGCGCAGTCCCAGCAGCAGCAGCGACGGCAGCGGCGGCAGCGGGCCGCCGCCTCCCTCGCCGCAGCACCTGCTGGTGGCGGCGGCGGTGGGCGACCGTCAGCGCTGCCGTGAGCTGGTGCAGCAGGGGGCTGACGTGGCGTACGCGGATGCAGAGGGAACCACAGCACTGCACGAGGTGAGCAAGGCGCGGCAGTGCATCCGACGCTCGCTCGCCCTGCCGCCTTGCTGCTCCAGCCGACGTCCAGCAGCCCACGCCGGCCGCAAGGCCGCCCCGCTGCACACCCCGCAGGCCTGCAGGCACGGCCACCTGCCCACCGTGCGCCTGCTGCTGCGACGCGGCGCCGATGCGGGGGCTGTGGATATGCGAGGCGACACGCCCGCCCACCTGGCCGCCCGCCACGCCCATCTTGACCTGCTGCCAGCGCTGCTGGAGGCGGGTGGGTGGCATGCTGCGGGAGCTGCTGACCCTGCTGCCACAGCGTGCGAGAGTGGCAGCAGCCGCACAGCTGCACCGGGGCCACCAGGCGGCGCCTGCCTGAATGGGAGCAAGCACCTGCCCGCCTGCCTGCAGACCGCCCACCAGAGATCGAGGCGGTGAATGCGCGGGGCGAGAGCGTGCAGGAGCTGGCGGCGAGGGCCATGGACAAACAGGATGTGCAGGCAAGCGGGCGATTTTTAAATGGCCCAGGGGGAGGCGGATCTGGCCACAGGGTGGGGCTGGAGTCCAGCGGGGAGCGACCCCCAGCACGTGCCTGCCTCCCAGGCAGCCGGCCCTGCCCCTGCATGCTGCAAGCCTGTGTTGGGCAGGCAGGGGTGTGTGTGGCACCTTGTGGCGGGGTGGTGGCATTCACAGCGCAGCCGGCTGTGCCGCTGCCTCTGCCCGCCTGCAGTCGTATCGGCGCGAGGTGCAGGAGCGGCAGGTGGAGCGGCAGGGCGAGGCCCAGCAGCAGCGCAGCCCCTCGCTGGGCCCGAGCGATTGGGAGTGGCAGGTGCGGGGCGGTGCAGGGTGGTCCTGCTGCATGGGCGCGTAGTGCCGTGATGAAGGGGCGGCAGCGAGGGGGCTGCTGGCCGAATCGGGGCCCCACCCCGATCCAGCGCGCACCCTGACATTGTCTGCACCCCTGCCCTGTGCCCTGGCTGGCGGGCTGGCTGGCTTGGCCGGCTGCAGCAACGGCTGGCGGGCGAGCTGTCTGGCGGCGAAGTGGAGGAGGAGTGGGGGGCGTTTGGCGGGGGGGACTGGCACGCAGACGAGTACGAGACGGCGGAGGAGTATGCGCAGCGCATATGGGCGGAGATGCAGGCGCACCGGCGGGCAGAGGAGGAGAAGATGCGGGCGGCGTTCAGCAAGCGCAGGTACCGCGGCCCCGCCTGCCGCCGGCGCCGTGCGTCCTGCCGCCGACCCGCGCCGCGCAGCTGCAGCAGCAGGCGCGGCTGCGAAGTACAACGGCGCCCTTGCGTGCACCTGGGGTGTGTGCAGGAGGAAGGAGGAGGCGGTACGGGAGGCGTACCGCGCGCAGGCCGAGGCGGAGAGCCGCCGCATCCTGGAGGAGCAGCGCGGGCAGGATGCGGCCTGGCGGGCGGCGGTGGCAGAGGTGGGTTGCGGGGCTTGGGGATGTGCCTGGGGCAGCACGGCGGGGCAGCGTGCTGCCAGCTGTGCATGCCGGCCCTCAGCAGGCCCCAACCGCCGACACTGTCCAGCAGTTCATCCTGGCAGGTGGCATCCAAGTGTGGTTGACCTGCCCCTCTGCCCGCCATGCAGGGCCAGGCCGGCGCCAAGCGCGCCTCATACGAGGCCCGCTGGCAGTTCTTCTCCTCCAAGCACCCGGGTGGGCGCCTGCGCCTTGCTGCGGCTGCGGCGGCGGTCCTGCTTCCGCTCTGCCGGCTCACACGCTGGCCTGCCCATAGCTTCTCCCCGTGCTGCGCTGCACCAGCATCACCTGCAACCGCCTCCCAGCTCCACCACTATTGCCGCCAGCACCACCAGCAACAGCAGTGCTGACCCACCCTCCTGTGCCTTCTGTGCCACCCCCCTGCAGAGGCGGTGGTTGGCTACGGCGACGTGCCCTGGATACTGGCTGCCGAGGGCGCACCACAGGAGGAGCTGCAGCGAGTGGTGCTGTACGGTGGGCGGCCGGCGCTGGCGCCCCTTGCACCGCCGGGCGGCCGCCTGCTGAGCATGCTCGGGCACTGCCCTTTGCCGCTGGGCAGCATGCAGGCGGGCGGCCAGGGGCGGCACGCACTCACCATGCCCGCTCCTGTCGCCCTGACCCCACACGCCTCTGTTGCAGGCACCAGCGGGACGGAGGAGCAGCGCAGGCGGCTGCGAACCGAGCTCATCCGCTGGCACCCAGGTGCGCTGCCGCCCCCTCCCTTGCCGCCCTTGTGTGTGCCAGCCACGCCCGGCACCCCCTGCTCCCGGCCCTTGTGCCAGCCCACAGCCGCCCGACTCTCCTCTGACACCTCGCCCCTTGGCCCTGCCGCCTGCCTGCCTGCCTGCAGACAAGTTTGTGTCCAAGTTTGGGCGGCGGCTGGCGCCGGCGGACCGCGAGCGAGTGCTGGCACGTGTCAACGCTGTGTCGCAGCAGCTCACGGCCATGAATGCCGCCGTGCAACAGGCCAGGCAGTAGGCAGGCATAGGCAGGCAGTAGGCAGGCAGCAAGCAGGCAGGAGTTGTTGAGGTGTGTTGATGTTGACTTGCACAGAGGCGCTCAGTCCCCACCACATAGCTAGTACTTCGGTGGTTCTGCACGTCTCGACAAGGCGAGGTTCACAGAGCGGCGCGTGCTGCAAACCAGCACATTAACACCACTCACAAGCGTAAACAACAACCCTGAACTGGAGGTGGCCGCGGCCTCAGGCCGTGCATCCGGCCAGCATCACAGCATGCAGCAAGGGCAGCAGCAGAGGAGCCCTCGGGGCTCGCTCAGGGTCAGCTGCCGCATGCACAGGCACCATCACTTCTTGCCGCCCTGCTGCTCGCTGCGCAGGCCGCCGGTGGGGAGGCCCTTGCGCTTGACGGAGAAGCTGCGGGCGGTGGGAGGGAGGGCAGGCCAGGAGTTGGCGCCACAGGAAAAGGCATAGGGTGTCATCGGCAAGGGCCTGCACTGGCCAACACCGGAGCTTGCGAACTCTGGCACCACCACCCTCTGCCCGGCGCCGTCGAGCAAAGCGACGCCAAGCCGAGCCGAGATCCCCCTTGCCCCCGTCCAGTTTCAAGCCCAGGCCGCTCACTTGTCTCCGTAGCCGATGTAGCGCTTGGGGCGCGCCTTGTTGGGGTTGTGGTACTCCTGCACCTCGTAGCTCCACCCATTCTTCTCTGCAACCAGCGCACCCGGCCAGCCCGGTGTCAGCCCGTGTGCGCGGCCCGCAGCCCGCAGCAGCGACGGCAGAGGGCGACCCGCGCGGTAGCATGCAGGGAAGCGGGCCGCGCCCTGCGTGCTCCATCCCTGCGCCCTGCGCAGGGCCGGCAACAACGGCCAGCCCTCCCACAGTCAGCCGCAGCAGTACCGGCACCGGGCCGGCCGCGGCGGCGCACCCGCATAGGCGATGGCGTCGTCCTTGGATGGGAAGTACAGCTGGCGGCCCACATTCTCCAGCGGGTCTGCGGTGCTGGTCCATCCAATCAGCGGGTTGACCCACTTGGCCTTGTTCTCGTGCTGGATCTTCCAGGCAGGGCCGCCGCCTGCAGGGCGCGGCGAGGAGGGCCGAGGGAAGGGGTGAGCCATGTGCGACGCAAGCGGCCGTGCAAGAACAGCGTGGCAAGCACCAGCGCTGCGGCAGGCCTAGTTGCAACTTCCGACCCCCCTTCCCAGCTGCAGCAGCACTCCTGGCGGCCAGCAGCAGACGCACCCGCGGCGGTCTGCGACACGCCCTGCTGGCCGGCGGTGCGGGCGGGGGAGTAGATGACGACCTTGCGGCCCACTTCGAGCGGCGGGAGGCCAGACACGATGCCAACCTCGGTCTGGGTCGCAAACAGGCGTCCCCCCGTCGGCAGCAGCCGGGCAAGCTCACGCCGCAGGAGGGCCATCCTGCTCGCGAACCCCGCTGGCCCAGAACCCGACTCCTACGCGATACGTGTCCCAGGCGGTCGCCGGGGGGCTTGGCAAGCCCTGCAGCAGCTCCTTGGCCGACAGGGGCGGTGCTGGTGGTGGTGCTTGGGGGCAGCGGATGGGCTTTCTGCGGATGATCGCTGGGTGTGCCAGGGCGATGGGCCAGGGCTGAGCACGCTGGGATGTGACCGCCGCCGCCAGCTCAGCGTGGGTCGCCACGCTTGCAGGCAACAGCCCAGAATTCTTGGAATCGCTCCATCTCGCGCACGTATGTATTAAAGTGGCGCATCGTGTTACAGCACCCCATCGACAAATGCGAAACGTTTGGACTGGCCTGTGCGAGTTGTGAATTGAAGGAAGGAGCTGCAGTATCGTGATGGCAATGTGTGGGCCAAGCATACTGGGCAATTGCCAATTGCTCCTTACTGGCAGACGGGTACCTCCCCACCTCTCCCTTCGTCGCTCGCCTCGCTCTCCAGCGCTCCTCCCAGCACACCTCGCCTTGTTGCCATCACTCCTGCTGCAGAAATTGGAGCCGGCAGAGCCCCTTTTGGCTATGCGGCAGGGTGCATGCGATGCCACCGCCTCTTGATGACGGCTGCCTCGCGTTGCTGCTGTGGCAGGTGCATGAAAGCCTGCGCAGCGCTGCTGCGCGACTGTGTGTATTCATTTCAAGAAGGCGATTACAGTGGCCATGGAACAAGGGACGCAGCTTGTAAGCAGCCACAAAGGGCCCCAGGCTGCAGCATCCAGCTTCTGCCCGCCTCGTCGCCCTGCAGCCGAGGGGGCGCACCAGGGGATGGTGAGCAGACGGGCAGGTGCAGCAGAGTGGCGGCGGTGGTGCAGCAGGTGCATCAGAGCCCCAACACAAGTGTGGCAGCGCAGGCAGGCAGCAGGTGGTGGGAGGGATCAGGTAGATCTGGCATGTTGAGTAAACAAGATACAGCTATGTTTCATCAGCGTCGATTAGTTGGGGAAAGTGTCCTCACGCCCCTCCACGGCGCAGCCCAGCAGAGCTGGATGCATGCGACATGCAGCAACAGCAGCAACAAGCAGCGCCAGGCATGCATGACTGGCCAAGCCAGGCACGCACCTGCTGCTGTGCTATGCACAGGCTCTGAACAGGCCGAGACGGGTGCTTGGTTCAACGGCCGCAATGGCACGGCACCGCTTCTTGTCCACCCTGTGAGCACCAAAGCAGAACAACAGGCATGGGTAAGGATGCGATATGGGTAGCGCAGGTGTGGCTGGCAGAGTGGGAGCAGCGTGGAGGGATTTATACCGGACCTAAATTCTCAGGAATTCAACGGGCGGCCCTGGGACCGCCCTCACCCCAAGACTCAACGGCCGACAGCCTTTCCGCCTCGTGGGGCCCCCTTTTGCCATGCGTAATTGCGGCGGCTAAGGGGGAAGAATGGGCGGGTCGAAGTGCAGGATCGGAACAGATGGCGGTGCTGGCAGTGGCAGCAGGGCTCACCGGTGAGGGCACCCACTTCTGCAGTAGGATGGGGTCATCACGGGGTGCCATCGTTGCGATTGCCTGCAGCAAGCAAGCAAGGGGGGAGCTGCCCCAGCAAATATACTAAAAGCCGCATAGTTGTAATCAGGTGGTGTTCAGTTGGTAACTCCATTGTGGAGCCTTCATCGGCATGAGATCAATGTGCGCAAGGCAGGGGTCTGCTCGAAAGCCCAAACCGTCGGGCACAGCGGCCCGTACAGCGGTGGCAGGAATCCACCATAAAAGGCTAGTTTTCCGCAATGCAGGAGGGTGTCAACAACAGAAAGGCAAGGCAGGCAGGGGTCTGCTCGAAAGCCCAAACCGTCAGGCACAGAGGCCCGGACAACGGTGGCAGGAATCCACCAAAGAAGGCTAGTTTTCGTCATGGCAGCAGGTGTGCAACAGCAGAAGGCAAGGCAGGCAGGGGTCTGCTCGAAAGCCCTAACCGTCAGGCACAGAGGCCAGTACAGTGGTGGCAGGAATCCACCATAAAAGGCTAGTTTTCGTCATGGCAGCAGGTGTGCAACAGCAGAAGGCAAGGCAGGCAGGGGTCTGCTCGAAAGCCCTAACCGTCAGGCACAGAGGCCAGTACAGTGGTGGCAGGAATCCACCAGAAAAGGCTAGTTTTCGTCATGGCAGCAGGTGTGCAACAGCAGAAGGCAAGGCAGGCAGGGGTCTGCTCGAAAGCCCTAACCGTCAGGCACAGAGGCCAGTACAGTGGTGGCAGGAATCCACCAGAAAAGGCTAGTTTTCGTCATGGCAGCAGGTGTGCAACAGCAGAAGGCAAGGCAGGCAGGGGTCTGCTCGAAAGCCCAAACCGTCAGGCACAGAGGCCCGGACAACGGTGGCAGGAATCCACCAAAGAAGGCTAGTTTTCGTCATGGCAGCAGGTGTGCAACAGCAGAAGGCAAGGCAGGCAGGGGTCTGCTCGAAAGCCCTAACCGTCAGGCACAGAGGCCAGTACAGTGGTGGCAGGAATCCACCAGCAAAGGCTAGTTTTCGTCATGGCAGCAGGTGTGCAACAGCAGAAGGCAAGGCAGGCAGGGGTCTGCTCGAAAGCCCTAACCGTCAGGCACAGAGGCCAGTACAGTGGTGGCAGGAATCCACCAGAAAAGGCTAGTTTTCGTCATGGCAGCAGGTGTGCAACAGCAGAAGGCAAGGCAGGCAGGGGTCTGCTCGAAAGCCCTAACCGTCAGGCACAGAGGCCAGTACAGCGGTGGCAGGAATCCACCATAAAAGGCTAGTTTTCGTCATGGCAGCAGGTGTGCAACAGCAGAAGGCAAGGCAGGCAGGGGTCTGCTCGAAAGCCCTAACCGTCAGGCACAGAGGCCAGTACAGCGGTGGCAGGAATCCACCATAAAAGGCTAGTTTTCGTCATGGCAGCAGGTGTGCAACAGCAGAAGGCAAGGCAGGCAGGGGTCTGCTCGAAAGCCCTAACCGTCAGGCACAGAGGCCCGGACAACGGTGGCAGGAATCCACCAGAAAAGGCTAGTTTTCGTCATGGCAGCAGGTGTGCAACAGCAAGGCAAGGCAGGCAGGGGTCTGCTCGAAAGCCCTAACCGTCAGGCACAGAGGCCAGTACAGTGGTGGCAGGAATCCACCAGAAAAGGCTAGTTTTCGTCATGGCAGCAGGTGTGCAACAGCAAAGGCAAGGCAGGCAGGGGTCTGCTCGAAAGCCCAAACCGTCAGGCACAGAGGCCCGTACAGCGGTGGCAGGAATCCACCATAAAAGGCTAGTTTTCGTCATGGCAGCAGGGAGTGGTCCAGAAGGCAAGGCAGGCAAGGGTCTGCTCGAAAGCCCTAACCGTCAGGCACAGAGGCCAGTACAGTGGTGGCAGGAATCCACCAGAAAAGGCTAGTTTTCGTCATGGCAGCAGGTGTGCAACAGCAGAAGGCAAGGCAGGCAGGGGTCTGCTCGAAAGCCCTAACCGTCAGGCACAGAGGCCAGTACAGTGGTGGCAGGAATCCACCAGCAAAGGCTAGTTTTCGTCATGGCAGCAGGTGTGCAACAGCAGAAGGCAAGGCAGGCAGGGGTCTGCTCGAAAGCCCTAACCGTCAGGCACAGAGGCCAGTACAGTGGTGGCAGGAATCCACCATAAAAGGCTAGTTTTCGTCATGGCAGCAGGTGTGCAACAGCAGAAGGCAAGGCAGGCAGGGGTCTGCTCGAAAGCCCTAACCGTCAGGCACAGAGGCCAGTACAGTGGTGGCAGGAATCCACCAGAAAAGGCTAGTTTTCGTCATGGCAGCAGGTGTGCAACAGCAGAAGGCAAGGCAGGCAGGGGTCTGCTCGAAAGCCCTAACCGTCAGGCACAGAGGCCAGTACAGTGGTGGCAGGAATCCACCAGCAAAGGCTAGTTTTCGTCATGGCAGCAGGTGTGCAACAGCAGAAGGCAAGGCAGGCAGGGGTCTGCTCGAAAGCCCTAACCGTCAGGCACAGAGGCCAGTACAGCGGTGGCAGGAATCCACCAGAAAAGGCTAGTTTTCGTCATGGCAGCAGGTGTGCAACAGCAGAAGGCAAGGCAGGCAGGGGTCTGCTCGAAAGCCCTAACCGTCAGGCACAGAGGCCCGTACAGCGGTGGCAGGAATCCACCAGAAAAGGCTAGTTTTCGTCATGGCAGCAGGTGTGCAACAGAAGGCAAGGCAGGCAGGGGTCTGCTCGAAAGCCCTAACCGTCAGGCACAGAGGCCCGTACAGCGGTGGCAGGAATCCACCAGAAAAGGCTAGTTTTCGTCATGGCAGCAGGTGTGCAACAGAAGGCAAGGCAGGCAGGGGTCTGCTCGAAAGCCCTAACCGTCAGGCACAGAGGCCCGTACAGCGGTGGCAGGAATCCACCAGAAAAGGCTAGTTTTCGTCATGGCAGCAGGCGTGCAACAGCAGAAGGTAAGGCAGGCAGGGGTCTGCTCGAAAGCCCTAACGGTCAGGCACAGAGGCCAGTACAGCGGTGGCAGGAATCCACCAGAAAAGGCCAGTTTTCGTCATGGCAGCAGGGTGGAGAAAAAACGCACCGTTATACATTTCCAGGAGGGTTGGCGATGAGGATGGCGATGAGGATGGTGCGCTTGTCCCTCCCCGCCCTGGCCTCTCTGCAGTTCCAGGACAAGAAGCAAGTGTGTCAGGGAATGACGGTCGCAAGGAGGGCAGCGCATGTAAAGGAAAAGCAATCATCGATGCTCAGAGAGCCCAGGGTCTGGCAATGGAACCCAGCAAGCATGCCGCAGGAAACGGCACAGTGGGCTGACTCATCACGGCAAGGACAAGAGAGGGGGAGAGGGGGAGATGCAAAGTCAAGTGGCTTGCTAGCTCTCAGAGACCCGTTTATCAGTCACTCAGGTCAGACGGCACTTCCTAAAATAACAGGTAAGGTGTCCTCACAGAGCATCGCAAGCAAAAGAGGGGTGCACAACGCTCCCCAGCAACACTTGCATGCAGCATGGTGAAGCGGCAGCATAGACGCGGTCGACTTGCCTGGGGCATTGCAGA